TTGCGCTATGCATTCCATTCTTGAACTCACCCCCCACTTGTTTCCCAACTTCAGGTTTTACAAATAAAGATAACAAAGGATCATGCAGCTCATAAGCAAATTAGACAAACAAATTTTGGTCCTAAAACATTTTTTCATTTATTGATTGCTCTAATGTCGTACACATAAGAAAATACCAAAAGGCCTTATGAGTAAGGCTGGCATTATGTACAGTGGCTCCTCCCACAGCAGGATTCAGTGATGCTCATGCTGGAGGCTGCTTGCGGCCACCATATTTTGTTCATTACAAAGACAAAAGAATAAAAGTGATTAGCCTTCATCACGCAAACCATTCAAGTATCTTAGTACAAAGGTTAAATATTGGGATCATTCCAGATGAGATTTCACTCCAGTATATTCAGACGTGCAAGCTGCGGAGCAGTGAAGCCCCTTGGAGAAATGGAAATCGCTCACAATAACAGCCATACAAGGGAGAAGTACCCATTTATGTAGGGGGAAAAAAAAAAAACAACAACTAAAAGAAATTACATACATGAACATTGGCAAGATAAGAACCAATGGGCCTGAAAACAAAAACTAAATTTTATAAGGATCATTATTATATTTGAACAGCAGTCGTGGATTTGAAGCTCCCACAGAATAATCAAACATGAATAAATTAGTGCGAATTGTCAAATATTTGTCCCCAATATGCATTCTAATAACATCTGCTCATACATACACAAACATGTACTATTCAAGCCAAACGGTTAAAAGAGTATGATACAGAACATTCATATGTAAAAGTGTTATAATAAGAAAGAAAGAGTTTTTGGGCCTATCCACTTGATGAATTCTCTTCAGGATACTTCTACAGCCCCAAGTCCCTTTAATCATTCTCTTTATCATACATAGTTTAGCCATGAGAAAGTAGTTAAATCAACTTCTGCACCTTCTTGCAGTTAATAAAGTGCAGAAAGGTGTTTTCATTTACCATTTTACAAAGCGATTGGAAACCGTTTCAAGCAGAAATTGATCCCTATGAAGAGATGGAGCTATTATGCATACCACGAGTTTACGCTCATACCAGTGTCATAGCAGATGTGCTGGAATGTAAACCATGCTGCAGAACAATGACATCTTCACAGGGACTAATGATCTTTATGCCAACCTTAATCATTTCAATGCTTAGCTGTAAACATGGAAAAGAAAGGATATATGATCAGCGCACACAACCATGACTGCTGCGGATTGAAGTCTCTAAATGGTCAATTGCAGTAATATTATAAATCACAAGAGAAAATATGGCATGATCATTTGGGATAGTATGTTGATCACAGCTTGCATGTATAAAAGTGAAACAAAAAATGGCAGTATTTTCTGAAAATAAAAAAAGCCCTACAAAACAAAATGAGTGGAGGTTGTGTGTCTATTGTGTGTGTTATTTCAATGACTAGTCTGCGGTGTTTAGGCCAGTTACATCTATATATTGCATCTGCATACAAACCTCAACGTTCATACCCAAAATTCAAGGGTCAAGGAAGGCACGTTTAGGGGTCATTTTCTGTTTAGTTTCTCTTTGTATACATAAGCCCTACCGATCTTGAAATGATCCTTTAGATGGTAAAATGCTGTATTTGGGTGGGGAGATAGCAACAGAAGGGTATGAGAAACTGCTATGCGCAACTGACTGGACCCCTTTACTCCATAAACTTAGCACCAGGCAAAAGGAGTTATTGCTATATATGCACCACAAGTTAGCACTGAAGAAAAGCTACTCAAAAAGGCATTACGAAACTCCTCAAAAAGGAAAGAAAACAGAATCTATTTCCACTGAAACAAGGAATTCATCTAAACTAGAAGTCAAAAAAAGCTAATACATGAAACTTATATTAGCTTTCTAGCCAACATCTTTTGAGTAGGGAGCTGTACCAGCAAGTTGCCCTTGTAGTTACAATTCTATTTTTTGTTAATTTCCTGCGACCAAATCTATGAGTGAGTGAGTAAAGTCTAGGCAATCAAAACCAGTTGCAACAGCATATTTTAACCAGATTCCCTAGCAGTATGGCTTCTTTTCACAAAACCAGTTTTCATTTTCCATACCAGGAAGCTGTATTACATATAACAGAAGTGTCATGGGAAAAATGGTAAGCTTCAAAGCCATCTAATAACATATCATACCTATGGTTAATAGGCAGAGAAGGACATGCAACAAAACAAAGCAATGTACACAACTGGCAGCTGGAGTTAAAAGGTTGGCATACTAGCCATAGTCATACCGAAAATCCAATCTTTTTTTCCTACCACACATTTATGTGGCCTATCTGACAGATAGGTGCTATGCCTGTAGTTTTCACTGAAGCCAAGCAGATATGTTTGGGGAACTGAATAGATGTTGAAACACTTGAAAGTACATTCCAGTGATGTAACATACTACCATTAGCCTTTAGCTATTCATAACTATAGACCTAAGGATATCCACCTCAGTGTTTTTTTCATTACGTGTCTAATCTGTTTTAACAACTTCACTTTGGCTATATATATATCACAAAAATAAAATAAAGCATTGATGTACCATCATTTTACCAATATCAAGTGTGCTAGCCTTTCGCTGAAAAATGAAAAAATATTTGACATGTACCGCTTGCCATAAAACATGAATATTAGGTTACGTACACACAGGCGCACTTCCATATGCCCTTAAACACAAGATTCAGGCCATGAATCTTTAAAACAGAGCTCAGCAGTTAGTGAAAATAGGCTTTACCTATAGTTTACAGAAAAACTCTCGTCTAATTCAAAATCAGGATCGTTTTCAAATGACTGGCTGTTGAGATCACCAAGAGCCTGATGTGCTGATATGTTCATAAGGCCATAAAGTTAACCGGTCTGCAGTTTTAAAGCTTCAATAAAAGTAAAAGTTCTCCCAAGGGGCAGGCATGGCAAGGTAGCTTCTATAACCATTACTAGCCTGTAATACACCCCTGTTGGTTTCGCTTTGCAACTAGGGGCTTGCCTTCTTTGATTAAGGTTACCTCCCTTTCCAGAAACCTGCCTTTAAGGGCACTCTCACTGGACACAGAACGTGCAGTTAGGGGCATGGTCCTGCAGTCAGGGAAGTTGAAAAAGTGATAGCAGCATCAGAGGGGCTCCCTGGAGACTTTTCTGGATAAAATAGTAGAAGCAGGAACATTGTAGCACCTGCCTTTAGGCAGAGATTTTAGTTTTAAATGTCTAAAATGGCTGAAATCTAAGGAAAGAGGCTTAAAATTGGGTTATGCAGAAAGTTTGGATACAAAGAGTACTTAGTGTAGTTCTTTAAGTGCAGCACACCAAACAGAACACTTGCTAAATGGAACATAAGGTTTAGTCACCTTCCATAAAAACATTGTTGCATATACTACAGGGTGAGCGGTGAGCTTTTAAATTCTCTGTTCTGTCTGCTGAGCTCCGAGATAAAATAGTGTCTGAAACGCAACTACGACATATCATGGAAGCAGTGAAAGTGCTCGCGTTTATAAGCCCTTTGGATAAAACAAAAATTTAAGGAACGTCAAGGAGTTTGTAACTATAAAATGTAAACATATTCTCTGGCTTAAACCTACTTATCCACACAGGTGCATACTGAAAATTGTACCCCTCAGTTTAGCCTCTACCTTAGTGGCCATGATGTCATTTAAGAGATTGGCTCTTAAATGTACCCATGTTTATGTTGTATGGCAGATAAATGGGATTACAAACATGGGGAAAAGAACCGCTGATGTAAGGAATAACAATTAAAGTCCTTGGTTATGTGAACAGATACTCATCAAGTTATAGTGAAATATGTTTAGCACTGAACAAAGCTTTTGAGCTTTATGCACTGTACCGTCTTCATTATCATTGTACACACATTTTCCGTACCATTGCAAAGAGTTGCTTAGCTATTTTACAGTTTCTTGTTAGTGTAAAGATTTTTATACAGCGCAGCATATAAAGTAAGAATCCCAGCATTGATATACATCAGTGCTCATCTTCTACGTATAGACATATTCAGCATGAATGCTCAATGTATTAATTATCCATGTGCAGACATCTTCTGCCATATCGGACCATCATCCAGCATTTAAAAGACAGGGTGTGGCAAAGGGCTCTCTATATGGAACAACAACCACTGTATCTTCAGGAGAGCAAGTTATTAATTAATTACATCTATAAGGCTAGAATCCATATCATTAGGGAACAAAGGTCGATTGTACCAGTCATCAAATGCATATCCAAATATCACTTAAAAAAAATAAATCATTCACTAGAAGATAAATACAGGAGAATATATAGCAGCTTTAAACTAGTACTGACTAAAAATGTTAGTGTGGTGGTACAGATGGCACACCAGTAGTGCCAGATATACTGAAGTTCCTTTGGGCAGGCAAAATACACAATGTTCTTCCAGAGTTAAACTCTGCTAGGGAATGAGCAAGTAACCAGGTTGGAAGATCTGAGACTTTTCTGTTTTATATACAGAAAAATAAATGGAAAAACAGCAATCTTGCCCAGTTAGAAATGGTCATGTAAAAAGGAGGATTAATGATAGAAAAAAATGTACCCTCTTTAATAGATCAAAAACTAAACCCCACTGCTCCCCCCCAAAAAAAATAAAAATAGGATGACTGCATAAAGTCCAGTGACATGGCCCTTTGTAGACATGTGTGAAGCACAATGCTTGGCATTTTTAGCAAATACATAGAACAGGAAACAAGTTTACTAAAGAGAATGTAAGTAGTTACCCAACATCTTACAGCTTAAATGGCCAGCACCATGTAGATGCGTTAAGGACTAGTTGATTAAGTTCCAGGCTCTAAGAGACCAGCTATATTTTCATACTCTAAGGCCTAATCAATCCTTGAACATTTTGTGAAATCCAGTACAACTACTGGGAGGTGCCTCATAATTGTAAAATACCATTGGAAAGGTACCATAGTGCTAGTTAGATTATAGGTAGAGGGTTGTTCATGTGCTCCTGCTGTCTCTAGCTTTAAAAATTAAAAGTTAAAAAAAAAAAAGCCACACAATGCTTTCAATGGGCTCCTGAACTAATACCATCACCCTCAAAAGTGCTACATTAGTTGTGATGAGGAGTAGCTGTGCAGTTATCCCCAGTGTAAAAAAACAAACTGGCGTGGGGCACAAAGCAGTCTTGGGACTGTTGGAATTCAAACAAATGTTTGAGAGTCTTGTTAAAGGAAGAGTTAACTTTACACAATCTCTTTCCCTGCATATCCTTAAAGTGGAAAAACAACAGAGGAAGGGAAAGAAAATGATCCCTTTAAAAAGCCACTGGCAAGTTTCCCGTTTTTAAAATGGTACAGGGCTACTCCATTTTCTGAGGCAGTCAGGCTCTGGTTGGATCTTCTTTTTTTAGCAGAGATGTTATCAGAGGAAAAATCAAGAACTTCAGAGGTCCATCGACTGCAATTATGTTGTCCGGAACTGAAAAAGTGAACATGGCATAAATGTAAATTTTATTTTATTTACTGGCAAAAATTCAAAATTAAATTAGCAAAACAATACTACAGCAAAACTTTTTTTTTCTTTTTAATTTGGGTAGGGTGACACATGGACATTTATCTTTAAACAAAATGGGAGGAGATATATCAGCTTTGGCAGTTAATAGTATGAACAGGAGGTAAGAGGAAATGTCCCCTGTAGGACATCAGTCCTGGTGACAACTATCAACGGGATAGTTTACAAACAGGCATGTGATCATTCTGTGTTTATTTTTACCACGCACTTACATTGACTTGTAGAGAGGGGAAAATAAGCAAACCATATACTGACCTCAAACTGATCTTAAATGATTTTTTTTAAAAGCATTTAACTGCTTGCTGTCCTCCCATTGTATGTAAACAGATGGATTGGACAACTCTTGGCAGCGGATTGCCATAAATCAATGGCGTTAAGCCATAATGTGGAATCCCCCCCCACCTCTGAGGAATGAGTGTAAATCTTCTCATTAGGGCTGCAGACAATAAAAACCCAAAATCCACTTTAAATAAACTGAAAATGTAACTGTATCTGATTGGTTAAGGACATATTCCTTTGAGTTTTTTTAAACTCAATTTCCATGCAGATCTGAACCCATAACCCACTTTAAATACTCCAAGCTTAATTAGGTAGAGAAAAAATAATAATTATCGCTAGAGAAAAAAATATAGCGTATTAGGATTTTAATTTGCAAAGCCTAGAATGACAGAAATGCTGATCATGTAATGCAGTAAAACAGTATATAATTTAAAGTGTGAAAATTCTCTTTTTTTTTTTTTTTAAGGACTTGACCACACAGGTGTTGGAAGCAGATGAGAATTCAGTACACGTGGCTCCATTCCAGCATTTCACAGAGTTCAGAGGTTTACGTTAGTTGTATAGTAGTTCTATGAACTATTAATGCATTTATAAGCAAGCAAAAGCCTATAAAACTATTCTATGTAGCAGTCTTAGCTCAATAAATGCACAAAAGTCTACTTTTTGTCATGTAACTTTTCTTTAAAATTCTATTTGAATGTAGAACTCTTTTCAGCTCCAAAGATCATGGGACACTCCTGTGTACATCTGTATAATTGCTTTATAAAGAAGGGAAGTGGATGCTATGCAATTATTACATTAGGATTCTAACTCACCTTTGATGTAGGCTCCTGTCTACTGCTTGGGATCCACTGTCCATGCCGCGCTACCATGAGAGGAGGCAGGCTGCTCACATTCTACTGGCTCAATCTGCAAAATACATGCATGTTATGCACGGACATTTTGTTGTCAAGCACTAAACTACACATTTCTGGGAAATGAAGACTAGAAACACTGTCGGCATTTGTTAGAATAAGTCAAATTTGCTTTCCAGAGATATTTACAAAAACTTACTGCTTGCAGAAACAAGATAGCAAATTTAAAGGAGTTAAATGCTGCACCTTTCAACCTTCAACCACCATCCCATGTAGAGTAAATCATCATGGAGCTGCAGCATTTGCTCTAATTTCAGACATTGCAATGCAGTAGTTGTCTTCTTATCTTTTTGCAAAGCTTTTTAACAGCCATTACAGATAATATATTGAGATGTACAGATCTATGTGTAAATGCAGCATAAATCAAAGACGGCAATAAGGAAATGGAACACAGTACTATAAAATGTAAAAGACAGTATTAACAGATGGTTTATACTGGCTGCCAGGCTGTTATGCAGATCCACTGGCTTTAATACAGACCTGTACTGAGCTAACATAGAACAAGTATGCAGACCAGGCATTCTGACTTCACTGCTACTTGCAATTTTTTAGCAATTAAAAAAATCAAAGCCGAAGTAGAGTACAAAAGCCAGAAATGTGTTCATAAAAAAATCAGAAATGCAGACTCTAGATTTCCTTGAAACTGCCCATGTTGTTATTTTTACACATTGTAGGCTGGACGTATCTCTTAAATGCAATTAACAATTGGTGCATTTAGTACGTTAA